AGGTGAAGACAGGAATTCAAGAACAACCTGAGCAACATGGTGAGACCCGTCTCTACAGAAAATATAAACATGACCATACATGGTGACGTTTGTCTATAGTCTCAGTTACTCAGGAAGCTGAAGCAGGAGGATCTCTTGAGCCCAAGAGTTCGAGGCTGCTGTGAGCTAAGATTGGGCCACTATACTCCAGCCTGGGTAACAGAGAAAGACCCTATCACTAAAAAAAATACACACACACACACACAAATGGATATATTGTATAAGAAAATTTACAGCTCTTCTAAGGTCAGAATTAATGTAAATTAAAGAGGATTTGTGCTTGTTAACAACACAAAAAGAGAAACAAGGCACTATGTGCCTCTTGATGACAAGCACAATATTGTCTCTGAATATTTTCCTCAAACTTTTATCTGATTAAGCCTATCAATTTGCAGGAAATATAGAGACTAGAGGAAAATCCAGACTAAGGGAAATTTTAAAATAATAGTCTGTTATCTTCAACAAATCAGTTGCAAAGGAGGGGGGGAAGGGATATGGGAAAATCTACATATGAAAAGAGAGAAAAACATGTATTTTTCTCTCTTTCTGTAAAAGCAAATATGTATTTTTCAAAGTGTTTAGGGATATGTGTTTGGGCGATAAAATAAAAAGACAAGGAATGATTACCACAAAGGTTGTTGAGGGGAACCTGGGATTGTGTTTGGAATGCACCCCAAAAGGGTTTAGAGGTGTTTGAAAGGGTTCCTTTCACAGAGTGTGTACGGGGTAATTACAGGGTTGTTGGGCGTCTAGTGGACCCCAAAGGGGACAGAGATAAGCAAGAGAGACAGCACTGAAGAAAACATGAAACTTACACCAAACTTACTGCATAAAACTGGGGGCCTGTAAGAGCATCCACTGCTTCATCTGCCTGGTGGCAGCATGAGAACCATGCAGCACCTGCACTGTTTCCTGAGCTTTTTTTATTGGACACATAACAGAGTACACATGCAAGGATGTATAGCAGTCAGTAGTTGGTAGTCAAGGTTAAAAATGAGGAAGGGGAGATTAGCGCCCCCAGGAAAGTAGGGGAAAGGGTAAACAGGGACACAGGGTAATGGAACATCTGAAGAGGCCAGATAATGGTACGAGCAAGAGAGAGAGGGGAGAGAGTAAGTCTCATTTCCTTAGGCAGACATCTCAGCTGCTCTAGCTACTAGTTGATGGTTTCAGCTGCCTGCACTGCTGATTTTCCCCATGCAGGGATAGTCATGAAGACATTCCCCTCACTGGACACCTTCAGAGACTCCTTTCTTCTCAATTAGGAGGAGTAAAGGGGTGGCCTGCCTGCAGTCTTTACCCTGGCTTTTGAAGGGCCTAGAGGGTCTCAGCCTATCTATTCTCACATATGGTATTAGTCAATAGTAATTCATTTCTTTTGTGCTGTTTTGTATATTTTAAGAAGCAAAAAGATTGTGGGTTTTTTTCCCCCTTCACATTAGTGACTTTGGTGTCACTAAAGAAGCAAGATAGGCTCTAACTGGTCTCAGGGTTGCCACCTTGAGTCGTCTTTAGGGATTGCAGACTTTTCTGAAATTACTCAATATGGTTTAAGAAACTACTGAAATCTTTTTCTCACAAGCAATTTACTTTAATTTTTTAATTTATAAGAGAAGTACACACACATGCCATAAACACAGTACAGAAGAACATAAAAGGAAGTATTTCCACTTCTTTCCCCTCATCTTCATCCTCTAATTCCATTCCATACGGATGAATTTATCCACTTTTACAAAGCAGATGAAGGCTAAACAGAAGCTTCGCTTACTTTGAAGGTGAAGAATTAAATAAAAGCTAAATAGAAGCCTTCACCTACTTTGTAAAAAAAATAAAAATCCTTGCATCTATTTCTTTCTTTCTTTCTTTTTTTTTTTTGAGATAGAGCCTCAAGCTATCCCCATGGGTAGAGGGCTATAGCATCAAAGCTCACAGCAACCTCCAACTTCTGGGCTCAAGCAAGTCTCCCGCCTCAGCCTCCCAAGTAGCTGGGACCACAGGCACCTGTCACAATGCCTGGCTATTTTTTGGTTGCAGCCATCATTGTTGTTTGGCGGGCCCAGGCTGGATTTGAACCCACCATCTTAGGTGTATGTGGCTGGAGCCTTAGCCACTTGAGCCACAGGCACCGAGCTTGTATCTATTTCTTTCTTTTTTTTTTTTGAGACAGAGCCTCAAGCTGTCCCCCTAGGTAGAGTGCCGTGGCATCACAGCTCACAGCAACCTCCAACTCCTGGGCTCAAGCGAGTCTCCTGCCTCAGCCTCCCAAGTAGCTGGGACCAGACTACCTGCCAGAACATCTGGCTATTTTTTGGTTGCAGCTGTCGTTGTTTTGACGGGTCCGGGCTGGGGATTCGAACCCGCCACCTTAGGTGTACGTGGCTGGCGCCTTAGCTGGTTGAGCTATAGGTGCCGAGCCTGTATCTATTTCTTAATTTATAAAGAATTTATTGACACCCTACTATAAAAATGAGAAATTCATTGCAATTACATTCTCTCTCCTACCTTCTCCAACTCCTGATTTGAGTTACTTAATTTTGTTTCCTCTTGAGATTCCTTTATATCTAGATATTACACTTCACATTGTTTTGAATTAGCCCTTTCAGAAAGTATCTACTTACTCCCTGGAATGAAATTAAGGACATTAATGATTCCATCTACATTTTCTATTCCCCTTGTTTCTCCCCTATGACTTTTTGGTTATTTATTTATTTTGCAGTTTTTGGCCGGGGCTGGGTTTGAACCCACCACCGCTGGCATATGGGGCTGGCGCCCTACTCCTTTGAGCCACAGGTGCCCCCTAATTTATTATTTTTACATTGCCGTAGTTAATAATAAGTAAATCTTCCATATGTGACATTCAAGGTTGATTCTAAAAGTTAAAGACTAAAATACTCATCTACAACATAGTTGTAAATATAATTTAGGACACAAAAAATCATACGAAGGGATTCAAAGGGGAAAATAACCATGTATCTTCTACACTTGGTTCAGTTTTTGCCTATTAATCAAGGAAAGTATGTTAACAGCACAGATAAGTCATATGTCAGTTAAGATTAAACTTCCACATAATTAGTGGTTTCATACTCCAGATCCAGTATTCTGCTCTTTTTTTTTTTGCTCATATCTTTTAACTAGCCCATAGAATGTTGAATTCTAATTTATCTACTTACCTATATGTCCACCCACAAGCCAAATAGTTTTACCTTTTTTTGCCTCTGGGGTTGGGAGGGTAGGTCATAGACTTGAATATATAATGAAAACTATGGGCATTTTCCCCAGAAAAATGCACTCAAACACAAAATCTTGCGTATGGTTTAGAGTTTCACAGACCTCTCTACCTGGACCCCAAAGTAAAAATCTCTACCTAAAAAAGTGTTTCCCTTTAGGGGAGAGATCTTGTCTTTTTCTTGAATGTATTTTCAGCACTTAACTATGATGGCAGTTAGTAAATGTTTGGCTAAATATTAAATGAACTGATCATTCCCACTTTGTCATGTTGGATTTTCAAAGTTTACTTCAATAGAGTTAAACTTTTATCTCTTTCGTATTTGTTTTGCAGAATCTACTTTGTAGTGTAATCTAGAGATACTTGGTGGTAGCTTTTAAAATTACAAGCTTTTAATGATACCCATGCTGAGATGTTCAGGGATTAAATGTATCAAAACATATACTGATGTCTACATATATAGGATATGTACCTATCACATATAGGTACATATGTGATTAAGCAAATACAGGGAAATAATTGTAGAATCTAAATAGTGGCTTGTTCACTGAACAATTCTTTCAACTTTTTTAAATGTTGAGAAATTTCATAACACGTTGTAAAAGTGACTTGTTTTGCTCAAGCAGAGGTACATTCCATTTCCAGTTCTTGGAATACATAACAAATCAATCACTTCTTCTGTTTGCAGAGCTCTTGGAGAATCAGAATAATTCCCACAAAACACTAAACCAACAGACAAGGTTTCCTTCGGTAGAAAATAATTTTATTAACATAATCGGGCAATTTACAAAATACGAGGTAGATAGCAGAAAATACATAATTACTACACTGAAAATGAGACCCATTTATACGGATTTCGGAAGAGATGAGTATAAAACGGGAGAGAAAAAAAAGTTTTGTGGTTGTAACGTTACCAGTTTTATGGTGGTGGGCTGCTCTAAGTCAGTCTCCCTCATTAGAGCCAGAGACTAAGCAAAGTGATCCTCTCTCCCATTCGTTAGAAGCACGTTACAATTATAGTACCAGGAGTGGAAGGAGTTACGGAGGGATTATGTGTAGGCAAGATGCTTGGGATCAGACCTACCAAGATCCGCGCTGTGAAATGAGACAATAATGATCTCTGCATCATAGGGCTGTTGTAACAGAAAATGGAAGAGCAACAGCGGAGCTATTATTCAAAACCTAACAAGTTACAATTGTCACATGAAGAGGAGGCTCCTCTAGTTGTCTCTCAAAAACTTTTCCGTCTCAAATTCTGCGGTAAGGTCTGAGACAAAATACCTAAGTTCTGATCAGCGACTTCTCGGAACCAGCGGCCACAAGAAAGAAGCCCAATTCCCGACCTCCTCAAACCCACCAGCGCCTGAGCTGCCTTTGGACCTACGCATGCGCAAGCGTGCTCGCACGACCCAACCTTCTGTGGTGAATGGTCTGTTCCATTCCTGAAGGATGGTGACTGTGGAGGAACCTTTGAAGTCTGGGCCCAGAAGTGCAGGTGTGTCAATGATATTTCCAGCCTATCACTCTACAACAAACTTGTAATTGTTATGCCTCTACCTTGATGACTATGATAGGATTCTGAAAGAGTGAGTTTAAAACAACTCCACAGTCCGGTCTCCCCCGTCACCTGGGAGCGTTTGAGGTGGCCGGCGTGACGGCCAGGTACGGAAGCCTAGAGGGGCCCCGCCCACCCCGCCCCAACCCCGCCTCCCCTTCCCCCCCCCCCCCCGCCACTCGCCGCGCCTAGGGACTGCTCCTCCTCTTCTCCGCCCCGCCGGCCGCGGGCGCGGGGGAAGTCTGCGCTGCCAGCGTGGAAACCGCGGCGGGCCGCGGGAGGCGGAAGTAGTACCCAGGACTGCCAGGCCACCACCGGACTCCGCCACCCGCCTCAACCATGGAGGCGTCCCTGGAGAAGGTCCGTACAGGACGGTAGGAGGCGGCGCTGGGGCCGGGGTCCCTCGCCTCCGGGACGACTGTTTCCCGGTCCCGAGCTGCCTTTGTGACCCGGGCGGGGGGCTGGGGGCTAACGGGTCCTGCCTGAAGAGGCCGGGCCTCGAGGGCGTCCGGCCCGGAACGCTGGGGCCTGCTCACGTCACCGGGCCGGGTGTCTTCTCGGTTCCCCGTGAGGCGAGAGAGGCTAGGCCGGGTTCTGCCCGAGCCGCCAGGGGTCCCGAGCCCAGTGTGGGGACAGAGGGGCCGACCTTGAGCCTTGCCGAGGTTGCGCGAGGGGCCAGTCTGAGCTCGGCTGGCCCTTTCGCATGACCGGAGCTAGCAATTTGTAGTCCCAGAAAAGCCTGGAAAGAAACCCCAGGTGTTTCGGACCCAGCTGCAAACCTGTAAGTGTTCACTGGGGTCTCTGTGTTAAGACAGTTGTTAAAGCAGTGGTCTTGTAACTTAAGCGTGCGTGGGAATCACTTGGAGCCCTTGGTAAAAATTAAGATTTTTTTTAGTTATCGGGTCAGAACCTCAGGGGGGCGGGACCAGGATCTGCGTGTTTAACAACACCCCCCTCCCCATTCTGATGCTGTAGTTTGCGAACGCCGGGTAGGGAGGACCTCTGCGAGCCGGGAAGGGGTGGGTGTTCCGTGGAGTGTGAATTAGTTTCTGGGATAGCAGCTGCTTCGCAACTTCGAGGCTCCCTCTTTCCAGTGGCGAAGGGAGACCCTCGTGTCAACCTGCTGGCAATAGCGCCTTTCTCTCGTTTCCCCTTGGGGGAGCAGCAACGTGATGTACCTGGCTGACTGTTCTGGCGTGAAAAATAGATTCTTCTTGTCCCGAATTTAGGGCTTGTAAATGAGAACTGATGTTGGGTTTCTTCATGGATTCCTGCCTTAAGTACCTAACATTCTGCCCCTCCCTCAAAGTCCTTCTCTCTGTTCCAGCTTGGGAGTCTGCTTGTCCCTTTTGATGCAGATTCAGTTTTTTAGTGTTTTAAGACTGCTACATTTTAATTTTGAGCTGGCAGAAATAACATTTTTTTTTTCAGTGCAACAGCTGCTGTAGATTTGTTCATTTGTCACAGGAGAGTTGAAGGCAGTAATTGTAGAAGTTGAGCCAGAGGTTTTCATGTGCACGTAATGGTATAGCCTACTCCTCAGTTGTTTAGCGTGAATTGGATAGGAGACCACAAGAAAAAGATAATATAGTTTTCTTGTCCCAGCTCCGTGGTGAATGTTTTTCTGGATAGACATGAAGTCTTTCCAGGTTTCTGATTAGCACAGTGTCTACCTCTATACTAGTACTTTGAGTTTCATTCTAGATCAGTGGTTCTCAACCACGGGGCAGTTTTTTCCCCCAGGGGACAGTTGGCAGTGTCTGGAGATATTTTTGATTATCACAATGGGGGTGCTGCTGGTACCTAGTAGGTAGAGGCCAGGGATGCTCCTAAACAGCCTGCATTGCACAGGACAGTCTCTCACACCTGGCTAAAGACGTCAGTAATGCTGAGGCTGAGAAACTCTGGTCTAGATCATCAAGTGTGAAACACCAATAGTTGAATAAAAAAATGATGCTAAAAATGCCCCTTGGGTTTTTTCCAATTTCACAAGCAGGTGGGGTGGGCTTTGTGTTATTTCATTTAGAAACCTAAGGAACTGGAATGATCTTTCTTTCAGATATAGCACTTTATAGGCAAATCTGCAAAACAGTGGGTTGAAATCTTTGAAATACTACTTTTCTGGCATTTGATCAGTAAATTACAAATCACTAAATATTAGTCAATGATGAAAGATCATAAACAGTCCAGATGAAGATCTCAAGAGGTATTGAAATTCCAGGGTGCTCAAGGTCGGAGCATTCACAAAAATTGCATTGATCTTTTAGGAATTCAAACATGTGGGCTGGAAGTTTCTACCTTAGACCAGTGTGAAAATTCTGAATGTTAAGTTTTTAGAACTAGGGTTGTGTCTTATTTTTATATTTCCAGAAGTAATAGAGGATCTAACATGTAAAGAACAATTTCTGATGGTGCAAAGTGGGCAGAAAAGAAAAAACATTGCTATAATATGAATATTGATGAGTTTTTGTTCTGAAAAATACTTTGAATAAAAGTGAAGCCTTGAATTATATCCATTCTTATTTCTTTGAGAAATAGACTATTATGGATTAAATTCCCCATTTTTAATATAAATTTGAAAGCTATTTGAGCAGTTCTAAATGATCCCATTTAAACTGATCCTTGCATAATTTATACTGGCTATAGAAACCACAATGTTATTTGATACTCATCCTCTAAAATTTCAAGTAATATCTCTTACTCTAAATGTGGTATGCTGTTATCATTTAGCAGAGTCACTCAATTCATTTCTTTTGGTCCAATTATAATTTTTTACTCTTGCTTTTTTTTTTTTTTTGAGTCAGGGTCTCATTTTGTCACCCTCCATAGAGTGCTATGGCTTCATAGCTCACAGCAACCTCAAACTCTTTTGGGTTCTAGGGATTCTCTTGGCTTGGCCTTCCTAGTAGCTGGGACAACAGGTACCCGCCACAATGCCCAGCTATTTTTTTGTTGTTGTTATAGTTGTCATTGTTGTTTAGCAGGCTCGGGCTGTGTTTGAACCCCCCAGCCCTGGTGTATGTGGCTGGCGCCCTAACCACTGAGCTACGGGCACTGAGCCCTCTTGCCTTTTCTTTGGGTAATATGTAAACATGCAGACCTTTGATGGCAGAGCCTTTTTTTTTTTTTTTTTTT